TACCCCTTGTCGGAGAAACCGAAATAGTTGTATCATAAAATCATTCATTCAAATAGATCGCATTTATATATTTTTTTCTCATGTTTAAAGTCATGAGTCAGCTATCTAATCTACTAAAAGTGCTTTTTCTGATGTTTTGTGCATATATGGTAACTAATTTGTAAAGGCTTTATCCCATGCAAAATCTTTTATACAATGGTGAGAAAGCTGTACATCAGATAAAACAATTTCTGCGCAATTTTTTCTAAAGAAAACTGTTCTTATATGTAAATTTTTCTTGAACCTGTGAGAATACTGTCAATATGTAATGATTGTTCCTTTTCACACATCCCATATATAAACCCTAAGAATCTCTAGCAAGAACCAATGTTAATTTTTCCCCGTCGCCACTCAACTCTACTCAATGCAATCCTGATTTATTTCCTCTCCGTTTACGAATCTTCACTTCAATATTTCTCCCGTTATTCTACGTTATTAAGTTGGACTTTATTCTACTATAATCGGAATTACTTCTAACCTGTTTTTATTGTACTTGTTATTTGAACAACAATAAAGGATAACTATTACACTCCTCGAACACATAACCAATCAATATTCAGTAAGTCATTTTTTTATAAAACATAATTGCTTTATTACTAACAAGGACAGTAATCTTCATCTTCTAATTCTCTTAATTTTTTTCCACGACACCCCTGTCACGGCTGTTATGATTTCTTTCCAAAACATTAGCTATTATGATGGAAGCAGTCTGCTAAATGCGCCTAACACATAGTGCATCAATAATATCATTAAGACGTAATCCATTAAATCCTTTCAGATAAAAACGATTGCATATTTCTTATGATATGCTCCTTGGTGCTGTTCAGATTTGTCTCAGTCTGAATTCGATGAAACCTCCCCTCGTAAACTTGAAGATTCAATCTTAATTGTGTATTCTTGAACTGCCCAGACCTTTCTAGGCGCAATTATTTCAGTTGTATCCCTTCATTTACTTTTTTTTTTGCTTCAGTCATCGAAATATTTCCCAATCTAATTAGAAAAAGAGGTTTTGACAGCAAGAGTTGTTAATGAATTCCAATTTCCTCTTCCTACATTTGATGATCTTCAATCACAACACCGCCGAAGACATTTCTTACAATGTATGAAGGCGTAATCCCACCAGTGAAATGTGAAGCTCATCAGTTCAAGATCTGAAAGTCAATTCATGTTAATTAATTATTACTGAAGTTGTCCCTGACTCTAATGATATGCAAGCAAAGGTACTTCACTAGGAAAGTACGGAAGCATTTCCCTTCGAGAACTGGTTTTAATCTTTAGCTCTTAGAATAAATTAAGACAAAATGATCAACCTTAATTTGATATAATAGTATTCAACAACAGCAGTACAACTGATGGCGTAAATATGATGATGACACGGGAGCTGATACAATAAAAATGTAATATAATGATAAAAGTTCCATCCATATGATATATCGGTAACATTCAGAATCGATATCAGTGATATTCAGTTTTGGTTTAAAATCTGCTTTATTGGTCTTTACTGAGCTATTGGGTTACGCTATTAAACTACATATATCAGTTAACATATGGGTAGATAAGCACTGGCAAACAGTATCCTCATTTTGTCGGAATTTTAATAAGAGCACCATTACTCAAAACCTATTGCCAAATACATCCACGCTTCAAAAATCTTCCCAACGCGAATCCGAAGAAAAGAATCATATGATCCGGATAAACTAATTAATGCCGTGAAAGGAGCAAGATGCTGAAATCAAAAATACTGGTTCAAGAGGTCACGAGAGGTCTTTCCGTATTTAGTTATGATATTTAGTTACCATCGCATGCAACACAAATATAAATTGGGATGGAATAATGGTCATACTTACACGGCGTGTAGCCGGCCAATTTTCAGTTTCCATCATCAATGGTTACATTTATTCCTCTTCATGAACACTTGGGAAGGGAAGCACTGGAATATTTATGCATTGATAATATTATTTTCTGACTCAAAAGGTCTGCCATAGTTGCGACAAATACCTCTATCTGTATTTATCCATTTGGCTGCGACTCCAGTGGGCCTGTACTTCTTAGGCTGAAAAACCAACCTGAGACTCAATTTCCGTCCAGAGCTTATTTCGTCCGGTCAAATGCGATGGCAACGGAAAAGTCGGTATTTCGCGGCTGAAAGGAAGATGACCAATGTAGTCGTTGTCTTCTAGAGTTGAGCTACTGAAATATTGCTGGGTTTCCCGCGTGGTCAGGTTGCTACGTATGTGGGATATATAGACAGGTCGAAATGTTAGGGTTCATTTTACGGTATATCATTTTCAGTTCTGTCGAAGTCGCAGATTTGCAAAATCTGTTTCTATATAAATTTCAGGAACCGGAATGTTCCCTGGGTTAATTCGACGAATATATCATCTTCGATTCCTAAGAATTAACACGAGGTACCAGAATTTAGTGACAGGAGAAACGAGAATAGTACCAGTCCCCAAGACAGTACTGCCCGATGATTATACTGTCGCAAGTGCTGATGATACCGATGTACCTCGACATCGTAAGAAAGTAATAAGTCGTGCATTGGAGGTTTATCTCAATGATACTGGAAAGCGAAATAAAATTATGGCCCGAGAAAAAGCAGAATTCGAGCTTGGGAAACGATATTTGGCCAATATGATGGGACTGGAACCGAGTAGCATCACCCAGGATGATATTGAAAAGTAAATCCAGACGGCTGCTTAATTTGCGCTAAAGGAGTATACTAAAATATCCAACTAACTTCAAACAGTATTTTGTATGGATGTGATATTATTCAGGGCAGTGGAGTATCTCTTTCCATCTGGTCTAACAAACAAGTTGGCATTACCGGTAATGAAGCCGCCCGAAGAAATTTTACCAGTGTTGCGTCAGATTGCATTTGATGATGAAGGCCGCCCAAAGGATTTACTATTTTTTACACTTGCGCCCAAGTTTTACCGACTTCTCTCGGTGGGTTTGTTTTCTTCCTTGAAAAAACGTAATCTGAGAAGGAATTGCGTAATGAATACTTCTTATTTTAGACTGTTGGTGCAAAGACGGAAGCATTATTGTGTCATCAACAGAAACAGGAAGTGGCCACAGAGGATGATCGGAAAACACATAAAATGTGTAGTTTGAACTTAATTTTAATACCGACCTGTGGATCAGTTCGTTTTTATGCATTATTCTTATTCATAATCTTTATTGTAGGGAATTATTGGGTACGGAATGGATTAGTCAACAAATGCTTTGTAATAAAATGGAAGAGAGAATTACGGATGAAATGGTCATTTTTGAAAATTTGGAACGAACCGTAATACTGGAAGCTATAATTTGTCATTGGTTTATGAATTGTTTTAAAAGCAATTGTTCAATTTAATAAGGCTAGTAAATGAGACTGCGAAGGAGCATAATTTGATAGAACAAAAGTTTTTTTTTGTTCGATTTATTATATCCATAATAATCATGCATTTCAGTATGCACATCTTATCATTTCGCTAGATTACATGATTTCCCTTCCTGGTGCTCATAAGGAGCAGGACTTCATTCTCGAATACAGAAAATCTGTGGCTGTTGGAGCTAAGGACGTTATTTTTGGTACAAAAGTAAGTTTAAAAATTAACGCAAGTAGAAGATGTGTGTATCAGATTATTTATATATATCAGAACCATAACACAAATGGGTTGAAGACTAATTTGTTGGATTAAATTGTTTTATGAGAAACACAACTGCGATATGATTTGAAATTCACTGTCTGGTGTTCAGGTAACAACGACTTAATAAGGAAACTTTTAATTTTTCGTATTTAGATACCACCCGTTCAGTTAGTGGAAGGTACCAATCGACGAATGGCGAAAGTGGAAGTTCGCTTGAAAGCATCGTTTGCTGAAGTCGAAGTACAAGACAAAGGAAATGGCGAATATACGGTAGACGGATATGGCCTCGATGTATTTCGATCTTTACAAGCTAGGTAATATTCCATGCTTATTTATAATTCTCAAATCTCGAGAAGTTTCTCTTGTTATTTTCTTTAAAAGCAGTAGCTACAGAATTTTAAAATAGTTTCTTGCCGAGTACGAAATTAGTTCTGTTTTTCAGGGAAATATTCTTGGCACCACTGATAGTGACAGATTTGCTGGGAAAACTGGATATCAGAGGTAAAATTACAGATGGTCCCGGCGGTGCTTCTGTCATACCTAGAATCATACGACATGGTGCTTCATTATGTATTGCTGCGCTATTTCCTGAACATTTCGACAAGCTCCGTATTGGTATCTTCTTTCATTATCAGAGGGTTGGTAAATAAAGGAATCCCACATATCACCAAGTGGACACTCTTTGAGTCTATCTTGTTAAATTTTAACGACAATGCAGATATACTTGCGAATTGATTCAATAAATTAAGATTCAACTTATAGCTGGTCTACTGACATCTGATCCAAGAAAGCGTGAACGATACAAGATCAACCAAAAGGGTGCTCGAGCCAAATGGATTTGGTATCTTTTCATTTTCCATGCTTTCTCATCGCACTCTATCCATAGATAAATGTGTGTGGTTATCTGCCAAGGTTGACTGGTTTTAATGAAGTACTTTTGGCCTTTTAAGAGTCTTTCTTTTGCTGTGTTTTGATGTTTGACCGTACTTTGATGATATAACTGCAACGTTCGAGTACATCATAGTAGCTCTGAAACTCAATAGACGCTTCCTTGAAGGCAACGGTCTACGCTTCTAATTCCTTAAAATTATTCTTGTTCCTATTGAATAAATTCTATTGTAATTTTTATCGATAATGGTAAGCCCTGAAAGTATTTTGTCTTACATCGATAGAATTTAAACTTAGTAAGTAAATATTGGGCTTGCTTATGACACTATTTCGTTGAAAAGTTGCACTTCATTAGCTTTCATTAAATGAAACTTCATTATTTGTAAATCAGATATCGTCAAACTTGGTGTTTTTGAAAAGCGGCAAAATTGATTTTACTTTCTGTACTGCACTGCGGAATTTTGGAGTGGAAAATTCTCAGTTTTTTAATGATAATTATTTTTATGAAATCCCGAATATCGCTCGTATATCAGGTTTCAGTATGTAATCACATTTAGTGAGTGGATGCATTTCGGAATGAACTAGTTTTGAAAATTTCTCTCGCATTCGTTTAGGAATGTCAAAAAAGAAGTTATAGGACTAAAAGATGTGCTGATTAGTTGAACTAGGCTAAAACTAAAATATTTCCAATAACTTATATGCAAAGGCAGTTGTGCAGTTACTGAACTCACCATTTAATAATTTTTCCCGAAAATTCGCTAATCCGTCGAAATGATCTATTATGCAGAAGGAGTGAGGATCATTTCTGTCGTATCTTTCGTGAGATATTTCCATAACTAAGTTGACATTTGGGTAAGACGAGCTGAAAATTGCGATATCGTAATGGAATTTCTGTTTTTCTATGGTACGATCAAAGGTGTGGACCATAGTTAATGATGATCATACATCATATTCTTTGCATATATTATATTGGCCATATTGCGTATGGGGAGTTTTGCAGCCCTCGAGATAGCAGATGGAAAAATTTTCAAAAAAAGACGCTAATAATAAAGTGCATGACCTCCACAAATCAAGTTTTTTAACAGTGCAACCGATTGATTGCTTCACGTCTACACATGAAGATTGAATTCCACATTAAATGAAGATTTGTTGAATTGCTTTTTCAAGTGCTAATTCAATTGCCATGCCAGCGGTTACTGATTTATACTGATCCATAACTGTTGCAGGAAAAAGCGGTAATCAAATGGACGTGTTTTCGAATATATAACTGCAAGTGAAGATAATTGGAACAACCTTCTGGCATTATTTGATGAAGCTTTCGAAAGTTTTCATTTTAATGATTAAAGAAAACTTTAGTTAAGGGAGTAAGAGAGGTTATGAGAGGGGTTGCAGATTGAGCTTCTGATTAGGTGGGTTAGATGGGAAAGAGATGACCTAGGGGTTTACAAGGTAGAGATGGGGAAAATAAAAGCTTGGAAGTCTGTAATGTTGATAGTATATGGTTGGAATATTCTCAAAAATTCTCTTCTCTGGCCGACTAAAGAAACAAAAGAAGGCTAGCAGCTACCCTTCCCTTTTTCCGTGGGCGTGTGTGTGTATGTTTATAGTGGGTGATGGCCTGTGGAGGGTGCCCCGTGGTGACACCTCGTGCAAGGCACCAACACAACGCTCAAGGAGCAGTCTAAACTGATTTTTCGTCTCTCTCTCCTCCAAGGTATCACTGTAACTGTTGCTGTAGCTGTACATCTTCTTGAGCGAATACAGCTGCAGTTAGGTTGAACGACGACGGATCGAGCCGATCAGCGCACGTCTCCCATTTGAAATTAAGTGCATATCCTTTCTTCTAATCATCGCCACCTCTTCCATCCAGTCCTCTTGTAATAACTGGAAACGAGCGGTACCTCCTGGTACCAATTCATCATGTGTTGCTATGTATCTGTCTTCCTGTCATTATGTATGTGCCTGTGAATTTCTTCGTTGTGACGTTGAAATGTGGATGCATCCACGAGCAAATTCCTTAATGTTGCGATCAGTGTTTTCAGAAGCACTGGAAAAATTTTTTTATTTTTGTGCTTTTTTTTTGCGGCATATTATTAGGCTGACTGGTCTTTCGGAAAATTGGGGGTAGGGAGATTGACAAGGAAGTAGGTTAAGCATGGCGCCTTACACCCTCTGTTGGTTGCATTTGTTTCTTGACTTCTCATTTAATCCAGTCCTTCTCGATTTCTTTGTGCTATTGGATTCCTGATCTATAATTTCACATCTAAGTGTACTAGGTACATTTCTCGATTAGGCTTATCTTTGAAATTAAGGATACAATTACCCATCCCTCGCTCTCGCTTATCATCGCAATTCTAGAGGGCTCACCAACAAACACTGCTGCGGTATCTTACCCTCTCGCATTTTCTATATATATGTTGTTTGATGTGATTATTCACCTGCTTTTCTTCTGCTATAATAAAATGACCAGATGCATCCAGTGTTATTTGATTACAGTTTATAATGGGAACATGGGAATAAACCTTGAGAGTACTTATGGAGGACAAACTTACAGAAGGGAACATAGTTTGTGTGATATGTGGAATGGTTAGTTTTTTTCTGGTCCATTGTAATATGCAAGATAGTCCTGTTAAAGAAGTTCCCATTATGTTGAAAGGCTAGCAAGGTGTTGGTGAATTTGGTGTTTCGAGAGTTTTCCAATGGACTTCACTTTAATCACTTAACTTAGATTGCACTACCAGATCTGATGCCCGAACTGATCAGTCCATAACTCTTTCTGGATAATTTGTTGCCAATGGGCTGCCATGTTCATTTATAGCATTCATTTATAGCATCGGGCAGGAAAGATTTTGTGATATCTTTATGATGCCTTTCCCTCTGAATGTTTTACACCGTGCATTCATTTCCGGATGGGGAACCGGCAAAGTTGTTGACTAATATTCCAGTTGTAATTAATATGCTACGATTTAATGCGCATACTGATTTGTTTTTCTCATCGGTGTAAGACCTCAGTAAGTGAATCATAACGATGAAATTGAAAAGGTTTAGTTAAAAGCTCCAGATCATCTGATCCCAGTTACCCTTGCCTAGTTCCCTTCGATATTTTGAAGGTTTAACCATCAATTATTTTTGCATAAAGCAAATGCTTTAGGTGCTGATACAGCCTTGAAATTGCATGAACTGAATACAGAATGCAGAGTATTTGTTGAAGGTCATGGTTCAGCGCAATGTGCATCGTGCTGCCTTTCGTGCAACAATCATCCGATCAAAAGGTGCATTTCAAGCACGGCCTGTCCAGTGGTGGGGTGTGTCAACAATAATATTTGTCCACACTGACTGTGTTCTTATTCTTATTACTCATTTTATCCTGTTAAATGATGCATTTGCAATGATTAGCGAAAGCAGCAAGCAATTCTTTGATATTTGAATCAATAAGCCCAGTTAAATATGTTCAGTCAAAAACTGATAGCTTCACCCGCTGTGTTGGTGAGGACTGCTTTAGGAGCAGAACTTTTTGGTTCCTTCCTCCATCATTTCGGTTTTTTATTACCTTCCTCTCCTCTCATTGGAAGGAGAACAATCCACTCGTCGATTCTTATTGCTACCATCAGACTAACCATAATTATCCTTCAAACTTTCATCTCGATATGAAATGGTCACCTATCCAGTGGCAAGCGTATGACGCTTTAATGTTGTAACCTTCACATGCAGAATTCGTCAAATCATTGCTTAAGTGTAATATTGCTACTTCATCAGTTCATCAGTATAATTTCACAGTTTTGTTCAACCTATTCTCTTCCTGATATCCTTGAACCTCACTGATACACTAGTTTATTTCCTTAGGTATAATTCTTATATTCAAGATTAGTCAAGAATTTTGAGCTTATATATGGAACTGTCATTCATCAGTTAACTTGTCATTAGTAACAAATGCTGAGGGCATCTTTTTTTGGCCTTAGAAATTATCGTGTCCTGTGTCATTGACCTTCTTTACACGAACACTTATATCGCAAACACCAGGAGAAGGCTTTTGAACTGTTAATCAGTTGAACAGTACTGTTTCACTCTGCCAGGCCTTTTAGTTTCTCCAATTTCTTTTTTGGCTCGTGTAAGTAAATAAGATATTTGGCACGTAGTCATACTCAAAGTGCAGTAGTAAGTATAGCAATCCAATGTTAATGAAATCTTGGTTTTCACTTCAAAATGTGCTTTTATTGATCAAAGTTCGTAGTATGCATGCACAGTGGAGGTCACGGTGCCCTTTTCTTCCCATCAACTTGAGAACATTCAGCGCTTCTTGATTGTTGCTTTCAACCTCACTGTCGCTGTTCCATTCCTTCTTCCTGTGTTTTGTTTGACCTTCGTACATATCCTAATTGATTTACCGCTTTAGAAGCTAGCAATAACATTTAACGCACCCTGAGACATCGACCATGATATCTACAACTATTAGTCGACAAAAATTGAACTGGTAAGGTATTTTGTTTTTCAATCGTAGTAGTTTATCATGGTCTCCAGCTTTCATTTAAAACAAGCTAATGACCGTGAATTAATTAAGCTTGATCATTTTGAATCTACTTCATACTTTATGTATTATCCAGATTAATCCTAAGATCCACATTGTTTTTTTTTTTTTTTGTCTCCTTCATCCTTCATTTTAGCATATTAGATAGGGGTCAAGCCTGATTAGCGATGGAAATTAGACATCGATTGTCAGTTTAACCATTTATTATTATAAGTAACAACTTTGGGATATCATTGATTTCATTTTTACAATTAATTACTATTTGTTTAAGCTTTCCATCACAGTATATCAATGCGTATATATGTATATATATATATATATATCTGGGGAGACTGATAGATACTTCCTACTACAAGACTTGTCATTAGCAATTAAGAGGCAATAAATGATACGTAGGAAGTACCGCAGCACTATTTATGTCATCATCTCGGAAACAGCAGTCGTTTACATCTTCCGAATGAGTAGCACAGTAAAACAGGCGACGATTTTGCTGAATTTTTTGGATGGATGCTTTTTTTTTTTCTGGAGATGCTGGCAACCACGGACTAGATGAAAAGAAACGGTGCTGGTCCCCGGCTGACGATCACAGCACAAGTAATAATAACATTAATAACAATAATAAAAGTGGCAATAAGGAGTATTTTGTCTTGGGAGGGAATGTCTGTAGGGAAAAGGGATAAATGACCGTGATGACCGATGTTGTGCCAGCCGGGGACCGACGTGGGTCTCATCCTACTCCGTACTACCCTGTACCATAACATACCATTCCCATATCATACCAGCCGTAGCAGGAATCAGCAGAACAGGAAGTTATTGCTAGCGTCTCACAGCTCATCATGGACGACGAGAATGAAGAAACATGGCAATCAGAAAATCCAAACATTCTTTTCTTCCTTACCTTCTGGTCTCTGCTTAAACTCAATGTGTTCCTTGGGCGTTGGTTATTGTGCTTTCTCGGCGTGAACATAATTGTCATATGCTGTTTTTACCACAATGTTACAAGCCATTTAGAGATCTCGAAAAGAGGAAAGGGAGCTCAGTGTCACTTGAAGGAGTGTCATCTAAGGTACATCAGCTCTGGAATTATTGGTAGTGCATACGAGTGTCATGGCCGTGGGTTGCTTCAATCAGCTGTCGATGTTACCTGGAGAGGACAAGATCTCTTTTTGGGGTACTAACAGCTCACCCTCACCGCCGAACACCTCCGGCCTATTTCATTCTTGCTGGTCACCCATTCCTAATGCATCCGAGTGTTTGCCGTCACCCTGGCATTCCGTCTACAGTTGGATTAGCGGCACAGAACAGGCAAGTCTTAATTTTTCCAACGCTAATTGGAGACATTCTCTAAGTATAGTCTTGAACCCCGAGGAATGAGTTTCTGAACTTTGCCAGTCAAGAAAGTGATTTTTCTAAAAATAAAATACTCGGAATTGTCATGAGTATACAATACATCGTCATTCATGCGAGCTCCATCTGAAAGGAGGTTTCTGTCCAATTTTCTATTCATCACCAGTAGTAATTGCTTGTGAGGGAGAGTTAGCAGCTGGTCAACGAAAACACTAAATAGCCCTCAACCGCAACTTGGTTTCTACATTTACGTTTATCCATGGGATTTTTCTTTTGAGCAGAAATTGCCAGACATATTTATCAAGTTTCATTTGTCTAAAGGTATGCATATTGTCGCCATTTCATAGCCAAAAACTACCTCGAACTCTGTATTTTTAATAATATCAAAATTTGCCTCACCATGAAGATTTCAAATCGGAAAATGGATGACCGATCAGATATACTATTTTGCGCCGTTTTCATAAGTGTCGTTAAAGTTTGTTTCGTAATCAAATGTGTTCGCTTTTTTTCCGACTTTTGTGTAGCATACATGAAGTTCCTAAAAGTGCAACCCAAGAATGTGTCATTAATGTGTGAATAATAGCTACAACTGTTTAACAATAAACATCAAATTGTTTGAAGAATAATGCTTTTCTTTTCCAATTTCTGCAGAGTGCGATTTGTGCCCTTCTGTTCCCCTTAAAAATACAGTATTGTTCTCGACACTCTCCGTAAATACTTTTATCTAAGATTCGGAAAAGTGGAATGAAACAGTTATTTAGGAATTGAAACCAGGAAAATTAGAGCACGCACCCTGATTCTGAGTAGGCTTTGCAAGTTTATTTAAATGAAGATCCAACAAAAGTTACTTGTTGGAGGTGGTTTTGGATGGCATTACCCACGCACTGATTTTCTTTTTCATATATGTAAGAAGTGCCGATGAACATTTCATCTGAACTTGAATCAGTGCAACTTTCAGGATAATGCCAGTAGTGATCGTACCGAGAGTTCACATTCAGAATCAGATCTACAGACTTCCCCAGTGGAGTCACAAAAATCACCCACACGCTTCTATTATGCAAACATGTGGAGGAAATCAACGGGGGAACCTCGTCAGATGGCGGAAACAATTCCCACATTCTCGTGTCCTCCTCAACCAACTTCCTCATCTTCATCATTTGTAATAGAACAGAGCGTACCTCGGACAGTTCCATGTGCTCCAACACCACCTCAGCCATATCCCACTAGTGGTATGGTACTTTCTTCAGCACAAACTATGCCTTTTTTTAATGGCGAGAAGGAATACGATCTTATTCAGGTACTATCTGATATCTTGCCTTTTCTCTATGAAGTGATTCTGCCTTCTTCCCAATTAAACCTTTGCGTGTCACGTTTCAGGAGCTGCTAAAGCTGAACATCGAAGGTTGTGTTGGGTCAGGATCCGGAATCGGCACACTAAGCCATACTTCACCAAATATTACAGCACTGCATGCAAGGTTACAAGATGTGAAACTGGACAAAGAATCACTTCCAGTGAGAACTCCCGCGAAATTCCCCGCTGTATGCGAGACAGGTATCAACCAGCGCACACCTAGTACATTACCACTCAAACAGCAGTCAAGCCAGCTATATCCCAATTACCAGCAACAACTGGATTTATTAAATTGTTGGACATCGACGATGCCTGTACATCAAGTATCTACTGGTAAGCATTCCAGTATCACGCAAAGTTGAAGTCTAAGTGTGTTCACGTAAATCTTGCATACTCTACCGGCAATAATTTGTTGTACTACATGGCTGTTACAGAACGAAACAGTTCCAGCGTGTTACATACATTGCCGCTTTTTACGTATACCTAAGTTTGAAGATATACGAGGAGAACAAGGGGAAAGATTGCTTTAGAATGACATCTCTAGAGAGAGTCGAACTGCATACCATCTTTTCTTTTTTTTCAGTGATGCCTCGTCCCGTAGTTGGCCAGAATGCAATATTGAAGAGGGAATCGTCGGTAAGGGACGATGGAGAGTTGGGCCCTATTGTGACGGAAATGTTACGACAGCAGGCATTGTACGAACATTTATGTGGTACTTACCTTTGTGGACAGTCACCACTACCACCAATATTTAAGCCATACATTCCACCGGTAAGTACCACTTCATATTCTGTTATTCCACACTTTTTTTGAATGATACAATAAAGAATGTATAATGTTGTTCAGCTGAGATCGTACCATCGTGGTTCAGCGTCTGCGCTGGAGTTACATCTACGATTGGAAGAGTGTACCGAGCAGTACCGTCAATTGGAGAAAGAACGTAAGAAGACGGAAGCGGAACTGGCTCGACATAACCTAGGTAAGAGGATATCCTCAGCCAACAACATGCCTATTCCTCGTCTCGTCCAAGTGCCCTCCAGAATCGATCGTCTCATTGTTGATTTCTTCAGGTATCTCCTTCATTTTTCAGTTCATGAATTTGAAACAGTTGAGATCTTCCGACTTGCCATGAGATTCTTTCATCACTCGAACAACATTTTTTACAGGGAGCATGCACGCGTTGTAACCTTATTGACGAAAATGGAGCAGCTTCGGGAAGCGCCATTACCACTTGCGGTTCACAATGCATTACGGGAATTGCACGATGCGATTAAAGTACTGCAGCAATGTCGAATTAACGAAAGGCATGCTATATTGCAGCGTCTTCGTGGTGAAATAATTCGATTTAATGAAGATCTGGGTAGGTTGTTAATTAATTAGTAATTAACACAATCCGTCCATATATTCCTTTGTGGAAATACTGTAAAATGATATGAAAATTCGGTTGCAGAGACAAACACTTTAACGGCAGCTCTGACAAATATATGCAAAGCAGTGGTGAGGGCTCGAGCAGCAAACTGGTGTTCCCTGATGTGGACTATTGGTGTGGACGCTGATAGCGAGAAACATATAGATCGAATCCTTAGTGCTGACTTCCAGATAGCTCCTCCCGAAATCAAGCATCGTCCTGTTTAGGTCTTCCAGAAGGTTGTGTAAGCCTGACTTATCAGATATTATTATCAAGCTTGGTCCAACAGCAACATTATTGTAGCATCTTCCACTTTCATAGAAAATCCTGTACTTCAGCATTCTAGCAGTCACTTGTTCTAGTTATTGTTGGCTGTTTGTCTTGTTATCAGCCTTTTTGCTTTCTCTTCATTTGGTTTAAGCATGTAAATTCTGTATCATGCGTGCACGTACTCGAGATTATCGGGACGATGGCCTATTATCATTGTAATTAATTATTTCTTCATTAGTTTTGGGATCGTGCGAGAGCGAGATTAGTCTTCCGTATATCCCTTTTCTATAATAGATTTGGTGTTATGCTCCACTTTCCACAGTGTCTTTCAAAAGCTTCACTTTTTCAAATATTTACAGTTTGCGTCAAAATCAGTTGTGAGATTCATATGTGCAGCTTTTGCATAGCATCAGAATAATTATTCATCATCCAAAGGGATTATCGAAATGTCGCCCCCCAATAGAGAGAGTACCACATGCACTCTTACCACCCAGTAAAACAGTATTACCTGTGCTTGCATATTTCATATTGGTAATGAATAACATCGTACTCGTATGATAGGAGGCGTCTTGTGCTCTTTAGACTTTATTCATTTAGAATAATACTTTTTCCTTACGAGCGATGGCGTCTTGTGGTAGAATGCTCATTTGAAATAAAAAGTTTGAAGTGAGAGGGCAGTCAGAGCTTAGGCAGGGATGTTCTCGAAGTACGGCGTTTTTTAACGAAATGAATGAATAACTGGAGAGATGATGAGAAAGTATTCGCTCGTGGGGATATATGAAGTAATTAAGTTAGCTGACGTAGTACTATTTACTTAATTGTATTTGTTGTACATCTTACAAATAATATTTGGAAAGTTGGTGCCCTTGATACCAAACTCATTTGGGACCATACAGTTCTTCCATCTGTCCTTTGTATGTATTCATTGTACATTTCTTTCCTTATTTTCTCGCCCTAACTGTTTGGTACAGAGATTTGTGAACATGATGATAGATCACTTGTCTTGTTCCGGGTATTTCTATGCAGCTTCCTTTCTCCAGCAATTTCTTGACATCCTTCGAATTATAGTTGAGGAACGCGTCAGTTTAATTCCTAAAAGTGATGAACTTACCATACTGCGGCACTCATATATTCCATATCCATAACAAGTGACACTACTTATTGGTTACAAAAGGTGTTTCACGAAATTCCTGTACATCTCGCCCTCATAACTAATTGCTGAAGGAGGACGATCCACACAATAAAGCACCTGACGGGTTTTATAGAGAACTCGTGAATAGTATTCCCACCAGGATAACATCGTGATTCCAATGCTCATTTGTGCCGGATTCCGAATTACCATATAATACTCACTGTCCACTGATACGCTGGAATCTCTGCAGTTTTCCCTTAAGAACTGCCTTTATGTAATAATTGTTTGTGTCAGCCCAATTCCTTCAGTATTTATTCCGAACAAATTATTGGATTGTTTTTCGACAAATTAACCTAGAATCAAGTTTGGAAACACTATCATAAGCAAACATGTTCACGCCGTCTTCTTTCCCGTCATTTGAATGTGAAAAAGTAGAGACCTCTGAATGCAATATAATACTCTCCATACATGCCTCTGTGTAAAAAACTGCTTCATCAGCTCAGTTACTTACGTTAAATATATAAAGTTGAATACATGAATCATGGTTCCCCTTGGAAGTAAAATCAATCTTGCCACTATTCAACGTCCAAAATTTTTTAATACGTTTTCCTAATTTTGAAGATCATAGATGAACAAGATTCAGATCATATAATGGAAAATACACAACCAATCATAGCAGAAAAGTGTAGGATTCCGTGGATGGGGCTAGTAGCGATGGATCC